ATCTAGTATTATGTATGATTTATTACTTCACACATATTTATCTAGTATTATGTACAATTTATTACTTCAGACATATTTATCTAGTATTATGTACGATTTATTACTTCACACATATCTTATCTAGTATTATGTACAATTTATTACTTCAGACATATTTATCTAGTATTATGTACAATTTATTACTTCACACATATCTATCTAATTTTTTGATATTGATGTCAATATAATGGAGTCCCAGTTAATTCATCTTAAAATAATTCTGAATGTGCGGGTGTCTTTAAAGGTAACAGAGATAAGGAAAATACCTTGCTGAGAATACACTGTAACTACTAACTTTCTAGAAAATTTGACATTGAAATGAAATTAATAATATTTGGTTCCACCAGTGAGCTTAATGAACAACTGGTTACACAGATACACAATTAGAGAGTACAACTGTTCACAAAGGTAGGCAATTCAAGAGAAGACACAGATGGGTGAATGTTCTATAAGAATAAAGATAAGCATTTCTGTTAGTGAAAAGAATTTTAAAAAGAAATGTTCAAAATGACAATTTGTATGCAGTAGAAGAATGATTTAGGATCACATACTGTTGAATTATCACTCATATCCATTATAAAAACACTAGCAAATCTGAGGATATAGGGCTATGAATAAATTGAATACTATCCAAACATAGGCCACATACTACTACCAGAAACTTTCCTCTGGAAAGTGTAGAAAGAGAACGTTGGAACAACTATGAACTATGTACCAGAGGAAAGTTTCTGGTACTAGTGTAGAAAGAGGACGTAGGGACAACTATGTACCAGAGGAAAATTTCTGGTATTAATGTAGAAAGAGGACGTAGGAACAACTATGTACCAGAGGTTTCTGGTATTTGTCCCTACGTCGTCTTTCTACACTAATACCAGAAACTTGCCTCTGGTACATAGTTGTCCCTACGTCCTCTTTCTACACTAATACCAGAAACATCTCATACACAGTTGTCCCTACGTCCTCTTTCTACACGAATACCAGAAACCTCTGGTACATAGTTGTTCCTACGTCCTCTTTCTACACTAATACCAGAAACTTTCCTCTGGTACATAGTTGTTCCTACGTCCTCTTTCTACACGAATACCAGAAACCTCTGGTACATAGTTGTTCCCACGTTCTCTTTCTACACTAATACTAGAAACCTCTGGTACATAGTTGTTTCTACGTCCTCTTTCTACACTAATACCAGAAACTTTCCTCTGGTACATAGTTGTCCCTACGTCCTCTTTCTACACTAGTACCAGAAACTTTCCTCTGGTACATAGTTGTCCCTACGTCCTCTTTCTACACTAATACCAGAAACTTACCTCTGGTACATAGTTGTCCCTACGTCCTCTTTCTACACTAGTACCAGAAACTTTCCTCTGGTACATAGTTGTCCCTACGTCCTCTTTCTACACTAATACCAGAAACATCTCATACATAGTTGTCCCTACGTCCTCTTTCTACACGAATACCAGAAACTTTCCTCTGGTACATTGTTGTTCCTACGTCCTCTTTCTACACTAATACCAGAAACTTACCTCTGGTACATAGTTGTCCCTACGTCCTCTTTCTACACTAATACCAGAAACTTACCTCTGGTACATAGTTGTCCCTACATTCCCTTTCTTCTTCTTCTTGCAGTTTGATGGAGGTACCTCACCCAGGTCCTCTATGTATTCTCTTCATCAAGTGAGATACAAACCTATTGATAGGGACACAGTTGCCCCGACATTCTCTTTTTACACTAATACCAGAAACTTACCTCTGGTACATAGTTGTCCCTACGTTCCCTTTCTTCTTCTTGCAGTTTGATGGAGATACCTCGCACAGGTCCTCTCTGTATTCTCTTCATCAAGTGAGTTACAAACCTATTGATATAAAATTATTTAAACTTTAATGCATTTGAACAAGTATTTAGTGTACAGCATTTCAGTGTATATATATATGGTTGATATGGTTATTAAAAACTTTTATTTAAAACACATTTCAGTTTTTAATACCCATATCAACCATCTCTACTATATATTTACTTCAAGTGCATTCCTCTTCATCATGAATCAACCATCTTTACTATATATTTACTTAAAGTGGGTTCCTTGTCATCCTGAAACATATCACTGTATTCTTCGGGCTACACGACCACAGAACTTCCAACATGGGAATTGCAAAAACATATTGTTGTTTTATCTTCAGAACTTATCTGTCTAGTGTAACTTCTGGCAACAACTTAAGTAGTAAGTAATACAATCTAATTCCTGTTTTAAAAACAACATCTACTAGAGACAGATGTAAAATCATTTATTTTATTAGGTTTTCTTTTACCTGACTGTGTAAGCCAAGACTGCCCTGTCCTGACCAAGAAAAACCTTAATAACAAAGAAACTTTATCAATGGTCCAAAGTCCCCAAAATACACGCATATCAACATTAATTCGGAAACTAACCCCCAAATAAAATTGTATGCCATGTAAAGCACTCTTACAAAACACAAAAACACTTGTTAGTAGAACGGGTCACCATGAGAAGTGGCTACATCAGTTAGTTTCATGTTAACTAATCGACTAATTGAAATTAGTGTTTCTGATTATTATTGTTTTCTATTAACTGATTGTTACAGAAATAATCAACTGATCAAAATTAGAGTTTCCAATCATTTCAACAATCGATTAATCAAAATTACCACCAAACTTGATGTCCTCATCATTGTTATGGCAAAGCTAGTAAGGATATCTACTCCTGTCACTAACTGTGAGCTGTGGATTAGAGGTCATCATTGTTATGGCAAAGCTAGTAAGGATATCTACTCCTGTCACTAACTGTGAGCTGTGGATTAGAGGTCATCATTGTTATGGCAAAGCTAGTCAGGATATCTACTCCTGTCACTAACTGTGAGCTGTGGATTAGAGGTCATCATTGTTATGGCAAAGCTAGTCAGGATATCTACTCCTGTCACTAACTGTGAGCTGTGGATTAGACGAAAGGATTGTAGTTGCCATCAACAACCAACTTTTTTTTTCTCTTGTACAAATCATAGTTTAAGAAACACTGTATAAATTGATTAGTAAGTACCACAAGTCACCCAGCTCTACCTGTTACTTCATTTAATTGTTAACCAAGAACGTATCCAAAATAGCAATTAGATGTTCTTCAAATTAAGAATTTAGAAAAAATGTATAAAGTAGTAATAAATTATTCATAAATTATTTCCTCACTAAACAGTTAAAACTCATAAAAATAATGTGGATATAGCAGCCGTTTAACCTAAGAAATCAATTTAATCACACAACCAGGCATGTAATAGTCCACTAGCCCAACACAAGGACTACAGAATTTTAATTCAGGCTACCATGAATTGCACGTGTGCTAATCCAGGACTAGTGTGGTTCTGCTTGCATGAAATGTGTTCATGTGTGTCAAGTACAACTTTTTATATTTAATTACAAACTTATAAAAATTCTACTACTCATTTTTTCTTTCAGATCACCAACTATCTGCTGTTAGCGAAATTTCTTTATGATCAGTAAACTGATTTCCATAATAGGCTAATCCATGATAAGCTTGATGTACACATAGATATGAATGACTCAGTTACTGACTTGTTAATTGAATGTTCAATTATTGCAGAGATCAAAATAGTTATTTTTTAATTCAAATCTATACTGATAAGAGATGATAAAACTGTGTTTAAAAAAAGACAATTTGGGCATCCATATCAAACCTCTGAAGAAATATTCAAAGTTCTTACATAATCTGTATTAAATCATATTTTCAGTACTTCAGAAATACCAGTCTATCACGTACAGACTGGTTAACCCTCCCAAAGATTCAAAGTTCTTACATAATCTGTATTAAATCATATTTTCAATACTTCAGAAATACCAGTCTATCACATACAGACTGGTTAAACCTCCCAAAGATTCAAAGTTCTTACATAATCTGTATTAAATCATATTTTCAATAGTTCAGAAATACCAGTCTATCACATACAGACTGGTTAAACCTCTCAAATATTCAAAGTTCTTACATAATCTGTATTAAATCATATTTTCAATAGTTCAGAAATACCTGTCTATCACGTACAGACTGGTTAACCCTCCCAAAGATTCAAAGTTCTTACATAATCTGTATTAAATCATATTTTCAATACTTCAGAAATACCAGTCTATCACATAGACTGGTTAACCCTCCCAAAGATTCAAAGTTCTTACATAATCTGTATTAAATCATATTTTCAATACTCCAGAAATACCTGTCTATTATGTACAGACTGGTTAACCTGTTCACAGATTCCACGTCTGCATCACATATGCTGTAGTACGTTCTTGTACACATTTTTAATCATCTGATGGTAAACCCCTTACACCTAGAGCTGCATCTAATACATAAACAAAACTGATGTTATTAGAGATGATATTCTATCCTCAAATCTCATTCCTCTCTACTTAGCATTCTATCCAAATACAACAATGACAAGAGTTTACGTACGAAAGAAATATTGTTAATTTGTAAATTAACACCTGAACTAAATGGTACTTCATGACTTGTTAAAAATCTAACTGTTCACCTTTTATAAGATATTCTATTGTAAATTGTATCATTTCTCAGTTTTGTAATATTATGAATATGTATATACTTATAGCATTTAGTAATTTAATCATTATACTGATAAAACAAGTGGGGGTCTAGAAGAATTTCAGTTCAGCATATTAACGTGGGGGCTAGTACGTTATTTTACAACTGCTGCTTTTTATCTTCTTTATAGTGGGTACTAAAGAGGTCCACTGGTGACGGAATTTTAGGGCATAACATTAAAACGTGTTTGATGAAAGACCAACTAAGCAATGAGGATACTTTTCAAACATAAAACACAACAACATTTTATGTTACACAAGCATTTCTCAGTAAGAAACACTTCTAGTTACATATAAGACAAAAAATATATATATATACCCAGCAATCTTGTTCCTCAACTTTTTACTGGGTATTACTGCTATCTCCTCACATATCCTCTTATTTGTGTGAAAGTCCAGGGTAAGACGTGTATAATACTTCTCAATTATTACACGTGACGCCTTCTTAACTGTCTTGGTTCGAACTCGACCCTAAAATAAAAAGTTGATTTAAATTAGATTGTAAATTAGAAAATTTACTCTATTTGGTACATTTGAAAGCCAAATACTTGTAACAATTTAAATTAAGTATTATGTAATGCATGAAAATAAAAGTAGACATCCAATTTATTTTTAAACAATTATCAATATTCACAACATTTTCACTTTAGCCATTCATTATTCCACCATTTTCTTTCCCTAACTGTTACACAATTTTTGAAAGCAATAAATGAAAAAGTTTGATGTTTTTTAACCCTTACAACAACACTGCTTTATCTGAGGTTAACAAAGAAAATTATAAGTATAATAAAAAATGTTAAAATGAAACAGTTTTGTATAAATCCATACCTAAAAACTGATTTGTAATTTAACAGTTGTTCATGAAAACCTGGTGATATATGCAGTGCCTAGACTACTACTATGTCAGTCATATCCCAACCAGCATGATGAGCCCTGGTATCAGGTAAAAGGCCTCGTTGGCACTGGATATGACAGATATGGTGTGGTTGACATATTATACCATATTCTCCTTTACTTTCACTCATGGGTTTCTAGAATTAATTATGGTTTTATATTTTTCTTTCTGGTTTTATTTTAAAATATCCATACAATGTTAGTTTTGTTGGAAAAGTAAGCTTCAGTAATTATTATTAGTGAAGTGAAAGGCCTTGACACATAAACTTTGTTTTTACAGATTACTTTATCTTTACTGTAGCTTTGATATTCTAACACCTTTGTTTTTTTATATGACTAAAGAATGCTTTTATAAATGTTTTGAAGAAATGAAAATGGACATCAACAAGATACAAACTTACCTAATCTATTTTCACCTCAAAGAAGAAAAATTATTTCACAGCACAGCAGTGCCAGTCTTACAATTTCTATAAAACAATGCTTAGAAGGAAATGTATTGGGATGTGGTATACGTGAAAATATTACTGTTGTGATAATATTGGTACCTAGTCTATTTGGTTGGTCATTTTGCCAAATATTAGTACTTATCCAACACCCAAATATCATGTAATTTAACAACAACAATGCCTGAAACCTATATAGGTATTAGACACTAAGAAGTAATAAATATCTCACAGGAGATTGTTTGGATGGAAATATACTGTGTGTGAAAAAAGTGTAAATTATTTTTTAAAATAATAGATTATACTGAAGTTTTGGAGAGACCCCAAATAATAATATAAAGCAAATATAAAAATATGCATGATGAAATATATTTTTTGAATTTCAGAAAATAATATTGTACTATCAGGTTGGCTTGTGGTAATTCAGCAGGACCAATGGTATTTTGTTGACAACTGCTTTCTCTCTTCTAAACTCCTACATGAAGTACAGGTGAGTAAACTATCAACATTTGTACGTCACTAGCCAAAGCACAACCTTACATTGAACATGCAAATATAAATAGTAATTATATCATTTTATGGTTATTATTACATAACTATGGTCTTTAACCAACTTGTATAATTATGCAAATATAATTTCAAAAACAAATATGTGGCAGAGTTCCCACTTGAAATGAGGGCTACTGCTAGGATGATTCCAGGATGGAAGAGCTAGTTCATGACAAAAGTTTAAAATCTCTTCACCTACTTTCTCTTGAGAAAAGAAGAGCAAGATGTGTTCTTGTTGGAGTTTACAAGATTGTTTTGGGGATTAATGTGATAAAAGTCCTTTGATTTCTTTGTGCTATAACTTGAAGACAGGATCGTCCAAGATTTAGAACAGACAGGCTATCATCCAGTTAAGTTTTATTTTTCTGACAGGGTGATTGTTTTATAGAATTATTTGTCATCAGGCGTAACAGAGGCCAGCACTTCATACTAGTTTAAATGGGAAGTCACAAATGTCCTGAAAAATAAGGGGTGGGTTTCATTTTTACTATTTCTCTAAAGAGTAGGAGTGTATAAACAGCCTTGAAGGACCAAAATGGTCCCTTGTTGTCCATATGTTAAGGTTAAACCATTCTGCACATAAATACCTAGCATAAAATTCTTGCCAGTGTTTCTTACATTGTCAATGAACTAAGAACAAAAACAATGAAATTATAGATAAGCATTCCACATGTCATTTTTGTGTGAGCAGGGTAGAATATCTATCATTTGTTCTTTTTTTTACCAATTATTTGTAATATAAAATATACTTGTAAACCTTTTAAATTTCACTTTGCAATACCAATTGTAAATGTGTTCTGAATATTTGTGATAAAAAAATGTCAGGAAGTAGTTTTTCTCCATATTTGTAGCCTCTACTCTTAGGTTTTGTGCTTCAGTCTCATACAAGTCAATAATCAGTGTCAAGACTCAATGAATGTAGATATTTAATGTAAATAATAAAAGTATGGTGCACAAGGCATAAATTTTCTGCTTCTGTTATAAAACTATATATGCTAATAACGTAATAATGTATGTGTATTTCCCAATGACAACGTTAATAACTTAATAAAGTTAATTGTAAGTTGAGTATAGATACTTGCATTAAGTTTTATCCTGTGGTTTATACCCGCCAACATAAAAATCTCGCCTAGTGTCTGTTACTATTATGGGTGTTACTGAATATGTGTTTTGTTCCAATTAATCATGAACAGTAGTGCTATCTCATGACAAGGATTTTACTAGAACTGACTAGTAGTATTAAACATATAATTAATCTAATACTAATAACAGAATGTTTTGAAAAATGAGATAGCGAATTACTACTAAGTACTCTTTATTAATACAAAATAACGTCATAAATTGTAAGTAGAATTATTAGTGCGTTATTTTCATAGCACTCGTGATATATTTTTCCAAAAAAATAACAGATTTCAATGGACTAATAAATCAAACTATATAACTTACTTACCATCTTTGATATGGTCAGAAACGAAAAGGCTGATTTACGAAGACGTTAGCGCCACCTATAAATTAATGCATGCATATATATATATATATATATATATGTAGGCAG